CCAGGCACAGCTGAGGGTTCTAGAACAGTGGGTGCAGCAGCTGAGCTGGGAGAGCCTGCTGTGAAGGGTGAGTGGGACCTGTCTGGCCCATACAGCATGTGTTTTTGTTTATGCTAGAGCCCAATATTTAAAAATCAGAACATTTCACCCATGTTTCCAAGTTTTTGGCTTTTCTTGAAAAAAAAAATCAATCTGGCAAAGTAGTGGCTATTCCACTTAATAATATTTAAGAAGCCCTTACTCTCTGCCAGACACAGAGTTAGTAACTTATTGAAAATTCACTATGATTTTGATACTTGTCCTCATTTTCCAGATGAAAAAGCTGAGGCACAGAATGACAAGGTAATTTGCCCAAAGTCAGACAGCCAGTAACCTGCAGATCCAGGATTCAGACCAGGTGTCTGGCTCCAGAGGAGGCCTGTGAGCTCCTGCTGGAGTGTCCCTGTCTGGGCCCAATAGAGCTTGAGTTTGTGACCCCTCTACTAGGGTCTCCCACACCCTATCTAAGGCCTTTTTTTGCCACTGTTTTACTCTGAGTATTTTTTTGAGTGGGGAGAGGGATATTATGTCTTCAAAAATCAAAGTTTGACTCTGGCCAGTGTAGCTCTGTTGGGCCTCATCTCATGCACCAAAAGGTTGCCAGTTTGATTCCTGGTCAGAGCACATGGTGCATTGTGGGTTCCATCCCCAGTGGGGGGGGGGGGGGCTGCAGCCGATCACTGTTTTGCTCCCACATTGATGTTTCTCTCTCTTCCTCTCTAAAAAACAATAAATATATTTTTAAAAATCAAAATTGGACTTTTCTCTGCTTAAAACTCCAAAGCCAAGCTTGAAGTCCCAGGGCTCTGGCCTTGCCTGGACAAGAGAGGTGGGAGAGGTTTCAGAAAGGAGCCCCAACAGTAGCTCTGAGCTAAGCTGTCTAACCTGATAGTCAGTAGGTTGGACATGGACAGATATTGTATGTTTGACTTCAACAGTGCTTTAAAATACTTTCTGATCTTTCCCGAAGGCTTAGCAGATCTAGCAGCACTGGGTTAATATTCCCAGTTAGCAGGAGTCAGCTGGAGCTGTGATGTGGCTGCCCTTGGAGGCTTTATGCTTGAGACTGTGGCCTGAATCATGCTGGGGTGCAAGACTCAGGCCTGGGGCTCTCATGAAGCCTTCCATGGTCCCTGGACTTACTGTCTTTCTCTGCCTCCCCTGTCCCTACTCCATCCCTGTCTCTCAATCTCATCTTTTCCCCCACATTTATCTTTGTCTGTCTCCTCCCCAATCATGCTGTCCTTCCATCTCTCTCTCCATTTCTCCATGTCTCTCTTCATCTGCATCTTTCTGTGGCCCCATATCTATGTCCCTGTCTCTCTGCCCTTACATTTCTCCTATCCCCCATATCTATCCCTCCATGTCTCTGTGAGGCAGGCCAGTAAGCCAGGACAAGTAGAATGGGGAAACTGAGGCAGGTAGTTTAACAAACTGGCCGAGCAATTTACAGCTAGATATAGAAGGTCACCTCTCTAGAGATAACATGCAGGCCCAGAAAAGCAACAAAACCAGGTGGGCATTGCCAGGACCAGCTACAGTGACAGATGATCCCCTGCTCTGACACTAACCAATTAGTGAAGACTACGACCCTGAAAGAGCACACCTGGAAAACTGATGAATATTCTGCTGAAACCCTCCCCTGAGTCCTCCCCTAAAATTCCCCTCCAGCAAGAGAGAGAGAAAAGCCTCAAGACAAAGGACCCAGCTCTTGCCCTCCCTCTGGGGTGTAGCCCCTGCCATTCTCTTTCCCCTAGTCTTCCTCTACAGGCATGCATCTCCTAAACTCTAAGAGACCCCACGAGACTTGTAACCAGGGGAGCAATGGGCAATGGCAGCTGGTCCCAGGCTAACTCCCTGAACCTGTCTCCAAGGCCCCCTTTTCTCTGACTTCCCAGAGAGCTAAGGCAACCCAGCCTAGACTCTCCTGTTGCTTTTCCTATTTCTTTATATATATATATATTTTTATTGATTTTAGAGAGAGAAAGGGAAAGAGAGAGAGAGAGAGATAGAAACATCAATGAGAGAGAACATTGATTGGCCGCTTCCTGCATGCCCCTCACTGGGGATTGGTCCCACAACCTGGGCATGTGCCCTGACTGGGAATCAAACCCGTGACCTCCTGGTACATGGGTCAACGCTCAGTCACTGAGCCACACCAGTCAGGCTCCTGTTGCTTTTTCTATGCTAAGCCTTCCTTGTCTTACTGTCCCCAGCTTTAATAAATGTACACTCATAGTCACCTGGACTCATAAAATTTTTCCTACAAAAAGTCACAAACCCATACACTACTGGCTGGTCCTAGGCAGACCCACTCAGGGTCCGTTCCCCTGTTCAATAACATCTGTCCCCCCATATCTCTTTCCCTGTTTCCCCATACCTCTTTTTTTTTTTTCATCCTCACCCGAGGACATTTTTTCATTTTTTGATCAGATAGAGTGGGAGGGAGACAGAGGAAGAGAGAGAGAGAAAGAGAAACATCGACGTGAAAGGTACACATTGAGTGGCTGCCACCTGCACGACCCAAGCAGGGCCAGGGACAAACTGCAACCAAGCTATGGGCCCTTAGCGGGAACCGAACCCGGTCTCTCTGGACCGCAGGCCGGCGCTCTAACTACTGAGCCAAACTGGCCAGGGCTCCCCATACCTCTTTATTCCCTCATGAATGTCTCTCTGGCTCTCACATCTGCTGCCCTGTTCCCCTATATATCACTCTCTGCCTACATCTCTCTCTTTTTTCTGACATCCCCCTCCCACCTCACCCTCCCTGTTCCTCATCATTTCTCTCCAACCACCCCCTTCTTCCTTCCATCCCCTCACTCACCCCTGTTCTCCATCTTTACCACTTCTTTTCTCTGGACCTAAGGAATGCCAAGCCTTCACCACCATCTGTGTGGAGCCTGACATAGCTGTGGTCCTTGCCCAAGGTCCTGCACTTCCCACACTAGATGCCATGCCTGAGCTCCTGGACACTCAGACCTCTCAGTGCATAAGGGCCAGGACGGATGATAGAAGACAGAGGAAGAGACTGACCACAGAAGGGCTTGGTCCAGCCCCACCACCCATCCTGGGGCATAGCAGTGCCTCCCTTAAGGGCCTGGCTCCCACTACCTACTCCTTGGGCCCCTTGAGCCTTAGGGCCAAGACTCCCATCAACCCTATTCACCTGGGTACCAGAAGCCTGCTACCCTCAGCTCAAATCTTTGCAGTTAATAAAACAGCCTCAAATCAGAACAAGGGTTGTTTTGTTTGAGGACAGTTGTACTTGCTTCTGAAGAGCCCCTCAAGTCCCTTGCCAAAACCGGTGCTGAGCTGGGAACATAGAAGACAAAATCCTGCCTTCGTGGTGCTCACATTCTGCTTGAGTAGAAGATGAACTAGTAACCCAATAAACAAGATGATTTTAGATTCTTATAAGTACTATAAAGGCTGAAAATAAATGTAATGGAACAGGGATGGTGATGTTGAAGAGGAATCTCTAAGGAGATATTTGAATAGAGACCTGGATGATGAGAAGGAGCTGGCCTGGAAGGTATGTGGGCTGATGTTCCAGGGAAAAGAACAGTCCCTGCAAATGTCCAACATCTAAGGTATCAGCTGAAGGAGGACAGTGTTGCTATGGTGAGAACTAAAGCAAGGAGGGAAGTGAGTGTGTGGGTGTGGTGGGGTGTGTGTGCACAATTTTATTGCAGATAATGTCTCATTAAAAGGCACCAATAAATACAATCCTTATTTTACTGGAAAGAAGGAACCAGCTATCTCGGAGAGGAGCATTCCAGGCAGTAGGAAGAGCCAGTGCAAAAGAGCCTGGGGTGAGGAGGAGCAAGGAGGAGAGTGCTGTTTGAGAGGAGTGAATGAGGGAGAGAGTGAGGAGAGATGAGATTGGAGAGATGACAGGGCAAAGTTCACACAGGGCCTGTGGGCTGTGGTTGAGAACACGGGCTCGTACCTGGAGTGAGGTCAGCAAGCAGATGCCGTTGGGTAGAGGAAGGCCCTGCTGTGATATGTGCTAGGTCCATCTGTTGCACGTAGGGTGCAAGCTGGGGGGTGGGGGGAGTTCCCGGAGAACAGGGAAAGGCTGCTGCCGTAGTCCAGGTGAGAGGAGACGAAGCATAGACCTAGATGAGGACCTGGGGTAGGGGGTGAGTGATACAATTCTGGAAATATTTTGAAGATGGATCTACTGGCCCTGTCCATTAGAAGGATGAGGGTTAGAAGACAAAGTCACCAAGCCCTATTCAGGCTGGGGCTATTGTGGGGAGTGCCTGCCACAGCCAGGCAATGGATCCAGGGAGGCCTGGGCCCTGGGATGGCTCCAGGAGGCCTTCCTGGCTAAGATACAAGTTCTGAGAGGGTTGCAGGGGTCCATTGGCAGGTCTGTCCTCTAGACACTGCTATTGTCATGTAGCACGGTGATTAAAAGCTCAGGCTGCCGGGTTTCAACTCTTCACTCCACCAACTACTTGCTGTGTGCCCTTGGGCAAGTGGCTTAACCTCTCTGGGCCTGGTAAGTGCTTTGTGAGCATTGTGATGAGAATGGTGACGATGATGATAATAGAAATCTTATCTCTGAGACACCCCTTATATTGGGAGAGCATGGAGAAGGGGTCAGGTCTGAGATATCACAGAGAAAACACCCACCACCGACAACACTTGAGAACCCCTAAGTGGCCTGGTTTGCGGGCTTACAGGAAAGCTCCATCACAAGGATGGGGGTCAAAAGCACTGTGCCGGCTTTCCCATCCCTCTTTACCCTTGTCTCTGCTTCCTCTCTCTCCGTCTCCGTGTCTCACATCCTTCTTCGTGTTCATCTCTTCTCTCCCCATCCTCTCTGTCTGTCCCCTTCCGGTCGCTGCCTCCAGCCTTTTCATCAGCGCCAGGAGCCTCCCAGTATCTCCTCCCCCGTGCCAGGTCGTGGAGAACGCAGCGCATGCGCCTTCCGCGCCCCTCCCTCTCTACCCCCATCCACCATCGGCTTCTCTGCCTTGTCTCCTTCTGTCTCCTTCTCCTCACCCATCACTTCCCCCGAAACTAACACCCCGTTACTCCCCAGTCTCAGCTTTGGTCTCCAGCCCCGTCTGCCCGAGGTAAGATGGGGAGAGGGGAGGCCCTCGGAGAAGGGGAGGGGCGAAGCGTCCTGCATCCGGAGATAAACAAACCTGGGGAGGGGGCAGCCTAGACTGAGGGCCCTGATGTGAGGGAAGAATGGGGGGCTGGGCCTGGGGGAAGTGGTAGACACGGGGCCCACTTACTAGGGTCCTCTGATGGGTAACGGGCATCCTTATGATTGCCCCAGATCTGGGGATGTAAGGCCCCGGGAGCTTCTGTGAGCTGGGATACCAGAGCCTGTGGGGTGCCCTCTCTAGCTGACCTTTGCCTCCAGGATTTGCCTGAAGGCCACCGAGGACCATGACTAAGACAGATCCTACTCCGATGGCCCCTCCGCTTCTGGACAAGGAGGAAGAAGAGGATGAGGAAGATGAGCAGGTTCCGGAGGCCCCCAGCCCCACCCAGGAGCGCCGGCAGAAGCCTGTTGTGCACCCTTCTGCACCTGCCCCCCTCCCCAAGGACTACGGTAACCACCCTCCCACCCTGGAATCTGGCTTGGAGCCTTAGATGGCCAGGGAAGGAGTCTTAGCTGCTGAGTCCTTGGATTCCAACCCCCTGCCCCCATTCATTCATTCACTCACTCATTGGAGAATGACATTGGAATAATCCTAATCTTTGGCTCATGATACATCATTCAGTCATTTAGTCATTCAGCAAACATTTGTTGAAAGCCTGCTGTGGACCTGGCTCTGTGCTAGGAGCTGGTAGCACAGCATGGAGCAAGACAGACCCAGTCTTTGCCCTGAGAGAACTCACAGGCCTCTATAATGACCACACAGATCCATCTAATCTAATACAAATGTGTAATTACAAAACACGATGAGAAATTGTGCTTGCCAAGACCGGAATACTGCAAGAGTGTGTTAAGACATGGTTTCTCTGAGGAAGTAATATTTGAGGGAGACCTAAGGATGAGTTGGGGGTTAGTTACTCAGGGAAGAGTGGGGGGAAAGGAGTCCCAGGAGAGGTAACCGCAGGAGGAACTGCAGGAGTAAAGGCTCTGAGGAAGGCGGGTGTGGAGCCGAGAGGGTGTCTTCTTGGAGAAACTGAAAGTGTCTAATCATCAAGCAATATTTCTGTTGCTACTACTCTGTGAAAAGCCTTACGTTGGGCGATAGAGATTTAATGGTGAGCATTCCAGGCATAATCCCTTCTCTCAGGAGAGAAGTAGAGACTGAATAATGAACAGATCGATAAATCAGGTAAGTTTGGATTGGAGTAAATGCTATGAAATAAAAGATAGCAATAAAATAGAGAATGGTTAGAGGGAAGCCAATTGAGACAGAGGTCAGGGTGGGTCTTACTGATGAGATCGAATTTAGGCTGAGAGCCAGGGCATGAGGAGTAACCAGTGGAGAGGGTTTCCAGGCAGAGAGCAGCATGCAAAGTCCTGGGTTCGGAACAGGACTGAGCTTGGAACAGAAAGAAGCTCATGGAGCTGCATTTAGGGAGTAGTCAGGGTTCAGGTGAAAGGTTGGCAATGGCTAGATCTGGAATGGGCTTAAAGGCCACAGTGAAGACTTTGGATATATTTTAAGTGTGACTGGAGGAGAGCATTGGAGGGATTGTTTTAAAGCCAAAGATTGATGGGTCTTATTTATATGTTTAAAAGCTCCCTCTGGCTATAAGGTAGAGAGAGGGTGGGGCTTAGCTAGAGTCAGATATGTTATCAGAAAGGGCTTTTATTTTTTTTTTTTTATTTATTTATTTTTTTTCTTTTCTTTTTTTTTTTTTTGTGGTACGTGCCCCTAGCAGGAACCGAACCTGAGACTCTCTGGTCCACAGGCTGATGCTCAACCACTGAACCAAACTGGTCAGGGCCAGAAAGGGCTTTTAGAAGACTTTGATGCCCTGGCCAGTTTGGCTCAGTGGGTAGAGCGTTTGGCTCAGCGGGTAGAGCGTCGGCCTGCGGTCCAGAGAGACCTGAGTTCAGTTCCCGCTAAGGGCACATACCTTGGTTGCAGTTTGTCTCCGGGCCTTCACGTCGATGTTTCTCTCTCTCTTTCTCCCTCCCACTCTATCTGGACAAAAAATGGAAAAATGTCCTCGGATGAGGATTAAAAAAAAAAAAGAAGAAGAAGACATTGACTGTGAGGGTCAGAAACCAGTGAGACATGTCACTCACTACAGGTGGATCAGAGAGGCAACAAGTTAACCTCAGTCTGAGAGGAAAATAAGAGAGTTATCTGGGTGTCCAGGGCAGGGGATCTACCCCAGGAAACTGTAAAATCTCCTTTGGAAATGCAACTGGATGCAGCAAATGCCTTTGCCTGGTGGGAAGTGAGAGGGTCTGGGCTGCCCCCAGGAATACTGCTTGTAAAAAAAAGCAGGATTGGTCATAGAAGATGAAGGAATCTGGAAATGTGGTCCAGGACAGAGAGAAGGCTAAGGTGGACTCCAAAAGGATCTCATATATCCGTTCATTAAATGTGTACATTAATTCAGCAGATTGAATACCTACTCCGTGCCAGGTTTTGTGCTGGGCCTTGAGGATAAGGGGGAACCAAGGCAGAATGGGAACATAGCACTTACATCCTAATGAGGGAACAAGTGAGACAGTAAGAAAGGAGAAAAAAGGGAAGAAGAGCCAAAAAAGGGGGGAGAAAAGTATAAACAAGTTAAATAGTGATACATGCTGTGGTTAAAGAAATAAAAAAAGAGCCCTGGCCGATTTGGCTCAGCAGTTAGGTTAGAGTGTCGGCCCCGGATCAGAGGGTCCCGGGTTTGGTTCCCACTAGGGGCATGTGGTGCCTCAGTTGCAGTTTGTCCCTGGCCGGTTGGATTGGGGTCATGTGGGTGGCAACCAGTTGATGTGTCTCTCTTACATTGATGTTTCTGTCTCTCTCTTCCTCCCTCTCTCCCTCTTCCTCTGTCTGAGGATAAATGCAAAAATGTCCTCAGGTGAGGATTAAAAAAATATAAAAGGGTAGGAGATGGAGAAGGGCAGAAGTGCAGATTTTGACAGGGTGGTCCGGGAGGCCTTTCTGAAGAGGCGACCTATGAGCAAAGACCTGCAAAGCCTTGAGAAGACTGTTCCAGGCAAGAAAAACAGCAAGTGCAAAGCCCCTGAGACAGGAATCTTCCTGGTGTGCTGGAAGGACAGAAGGAAGCCAGTGTGGATGCAGGGGCATGAGTGAGAGATTGAGGGTAGAGACCGACAGGGCAGTGGGAAGGACTGTGGTCTATATTCTGAATGTGATGGGAGCTAGCGCACGCTTCTGAGCCAAGGAGTGCTGTTTTATGACGGATTTTAAAAGAAGCACGCAGGCTGATTCTTGGAGCTACCTATGCTGCACTTCCCTGGGCTCTGTCTCATCCGGTTGTTCACTGACTCATTCATTCAACATGTACTGAGTTCCTGCCATATGCCAGGTCCTAAGCTGGATGCTGATGTTACTAGAGAGAGCAGGACTCATTGGGGAGAGATGGAAGTCCCTCTGGGCACCACCCTAGCTGGCCACACCTTGGATCCTAATGTATGTGGACTGCACAGCATTTGAAAAATTGGGGAGATTTTTCTTAAAAACCTGGATTTTTGTTTCTTTAATTTTTTTTTTTTTTTTTACTCTGGAGATTTGGCCAAACTGTCCCCATTCTCCATCAGGGCAAAAGTGCACTAGCAGCTCCCTTGGGCACGCAGACTTCAGGGTGCAACACTCCTTATCACACTCGTTTCAAGGGGTTGGTGTTTTGTTTTTGTTTTTTTAATCCACACCTGAAGATGTTTATCTTCAGATAGAGTGGGAGGGAGAGAGAGAAGGGGAGAGAGAGAAACATCCACGTGAGAGGAACACATCGACTGGTTGCCTCCTGCACAACCCTGACCAGGGCCGGGGACAAACTGAGGTATGTGCCCTTGACTAGAAACAAACCCGCGACTCATTGGTCTGCAGGCCGACATTCTATTGCTGAGCCAAACCAGCCAGGGCCAAAGGATTGGTGTTTAATGATCTCTGTTTTTTAAGATGTACTGGGCTTTAGATTTTTTTTTCCTCATTTTTTTATTCCTCACCCGAGGATATCTTTCCATTTATTATTAGATAGAGTGGGAAGGAGGGAGAGAGAGACAGAGAGAAACATCAATGTGATAAAGACACATCGACTGGTTGCCTCCTGCACGACCTGACCAGGGCCAGGGACGAACAGCAACTGAGGTATATGCCCCTGACGGGAATTAAACCCGAGACTCATTGGTCTGTGGGCCGACGCTCTAACCGCTGAGCCAGACTGGCCAGGGCTTGGCATCAGATTTTTATGTGAAACCGCAGGCTGGCCCCATGGAATATGCTGTGTGCTGTGCACCACTAGTTTTGAGACCCTACCTTACAGAGGGTCTTAAAGGCCAAGCCCTAAAACTCCCCTGGAAGAATGGGGTCGACTTGCCTGGGGTGACCTTAGACCTCTCGCCACCTCAGCCTTCACCTTCTTCGACCCCAATGACCCGGCGTGCCAGGAGATTCTGTTTGACCCGCAGACCACCATCCCTGAGCTGTTTGCCATTGTGCGCCAGTGGGTGCCCCAAGTACAGCACAAGATTGATGTCATTGGCAATGAGGTAAGAACACTGAGGCAGCCAGGGAGGGTGGGGATGGGGTCCTTTGCTTGTTGGGTAACCTCCCTGGCCCTCCGGTACTCCCAGATTCTGCGTCGAGGCTGCCACGTGAACGATCGTGATGGGCTGACCGACATGACACTGCTGCATTACGCCTGCAAGGCTGGGGCCCATGGAGTCGGTGAGGGTCCAGACCCCCAAACCATGTGCCCCAAAACCTAGGCCCCCAGACTCAACACCTTCAAAACCACCCGGAACTCTGGTCCTCAGATCCCCATCCTGAACCCGCAGCCTAAGATCCCAAAGTGTCATCCCTGAGGCCCAGGGCCTTCCCCATGCCCTTGTCCCATGCTCTGGAGGAGGTCACTCTAACTAACCCTGGCTGTCATGCAGGGGACCCTGCTGCGGCAGTACGCCTCTCACAGCAGCTGCTGGCACTGGGCGCAGACGTAACCCTGCGCAGCCGCTGGACCAACATGAACGCGCTGCACTACGCGGCTTACTTCGACGTGCCCGACCTCGTGCGTGTGCTGCTGAAGGGTGCACGGCCACGAGGTGAGGGAGAAAGTCCCGGCTGGGATGGGGGAGGGGGCAGGACCCACTGAGGGGTAGGCCTGGAAGCAGAGGGAAGGTGCCTGGGGTTTTGGGGGTGAGGATGTGGAGTGAAGGAGGAGGGATGCCAAGTGATAGGGCCAAACGGAGGAGATAGTGGAAGGCTGGAGAGGAGGCATTGGAGATGGGGCTCATTAGCCTAGGGCAGGGCTGGACCTCATAGGGAGGGGGTGGGGTTCTTTGGGAGGCACTGGGACCTGTGTTTTAAGAGATGGTTAAGAGTCGGGGGCTAGAAGGTACGGGGATGCCTAGAGTGTTGAGGAGCTCACCCACCTTGTCTCTCCTCTCGCCCACCTCGCAGTGGTGAACTCCACATGCAGTGACTTCAACCACGGCTCAGCCCTGCACATCGCTGCCTCCAACCTGTGCCTGGGCGCAGCCAAATGTTTGCTGGAGCACGGTGCCAACCCGGCGCTGCGGGTACTGCCACCCTGGCCCAGCACTGTTATTTTCTCCTTCCTCCCCTCATTCCTTTCCAGGCCAGCAGGCCTCTGCAGAAGACGAGGGGGGCCCTGAGCACCTGCGTCTCTGGAAGCTCTCAAAACATCGTCTGTACATTCAACAAATGATATAATAGCTGACATTTACTTAGTGTTCATGATATGCCAGGTGAACTGTATTATGAGCACTATCTCACAACGGGAAAACCGAGGCAGAGAGAGTGAATGATTTGTCCAGGGTCACCCAGCAAGGAATATCTTCTTTTAGTCCTGGCTGACACTGTGACCTTGTGTAGATAGCATTTAGAGATCACGAACAAAGTTGAATGAGACTCTTGGGGAATGAGAAGGTTGGACCCAGCATAAGCCCTCAATATGATCTTTGACCCTAACCCATCCATTTCTAGGTCCTCTCCCTAACACCAGTTACTCTGCTGCATCTCAGGCACAGATTATCTTGGGGTGATGCCTGAGGCCCTGCCTCACCTCCTTCCCCATTGGCTCAGTTGGACCACTGACTATTACAGAAGCCCATCTACAATGTTCATTCCTCACATGGCCCCATTCCTGGCCTGGGGCCTCTGGGGGCATGGCCTCTCTGAAGGCATGACCTACAGAACTTAAATGTAACCTTCATTCCCTGTCAGCTCTACCACTGGTCCCACCTCCAATTATTTGACATCCCCAGCCTGAGATCTCAGGGGTAGATTTCCCTGGGACATGGTCTAAAAATGCCCCTTAGTCCCATGTTGGTCCAAAGTGTGACCTAGTCCCACCTCGGTTTCACCTAGACCCGGGGTCTTGGGGCATGGGTTCAGTGGGGGTGCGGCCTGTGCTACTGAGTCCTCGCCCCTGTCTTCCCATTGGCCTTCAGAACCGAAAGGGACAGGTGCCAGCGGAGGTGGTCCCAGACCCCATGGACATGTCCCTGGACAAGGCAGAGGCAGCGCTGGTGGCCAAGGAACTACGAACACTGCTGGAGGAGGCTGTGCCACTCTCCTGTGCCCTCCCCAAGGTCACGCTACCCAACTACGACAACGTCCCAGGCAATCTCATGCTCACCACATTGGGCCTGCGCCTGGGAGACCGTGTGCTGCTGGATGGCCAGAAGGTCAGGGACTGGACGGGGTAGGGGAGGGCAGGATTCAGCTCTCATCACGCAGAACTGGGTCCTTGGGCAGCATGCAGACTTTCCCCTTTGTCTGCCTACCCTCCCATGGATTCACAGTATTGATTTCACCTAACAGTTCTGTAAGTGGCTCTTTTTTGCCCCAATCTGGGCTGAGGTCTCAGGCCAGCGGGAAACAGAACCATCAACTGACAGTGACAGTCCAGGGCAGTGTGGTTGTCATGGGAAGCACCATCAGAGTGGTCAGTGCAGCTCTGCTCCATCTGGGTCCCCTGGGCTTTGTGGTCCCCAGTCAGGGCCCATCTCTGCTCCCAGAGTAGTTAGTACTTTGGGGGGAAAGTACAGATCAGAAATAATCAGGTGTGTGATAGGAGGTGTACCTACCTGAAGATAGGGTCTCAGGTAGAGGGAGCAGGTAAAAGGGTCCAGAGAGCCGAGAGAATCTTCATTCATCCAGGCATTCCAACTTTAATTCATTTACTGGTGTCCCTCAGGCTCCATGCTGGACCAAGCCCACTCTTGGGGATAAAAGGCTGTGTCAGCCCCAGCCCTGCTCTCATGGAGCTTCATTTCTAATGAAGGAGAGACAGTCAGTTCAGTAAACCCACAGTTAAGATAATTTCAGGGAGCAACAAGGGCTTTGGAAACCATTAAATGCTTGGATTTAGTCAATTGTCCTTAGCTGAGGGCAGAGATGGTTTTAGCTGGGTGTTCCAAGAGTAGTTCTCGAAGAAGGTGATGTCTGAGCTGAGATGAGAAAGAACTCACCCTGCAAAGACATGAAGACAGAGCAAACAGCGGGTACAGGGGCCCTGCTACACAGGAGGGCAGGTGAGGTAGAAAGGTCAGCAGGGGCTGATCACACCAGACCTGCATGCCACTGGACGGAATCTGAGTTTTATTTCTTGGATAGTGAGAAACCATGAAAGTTATATTTTGTTCCCTAATCTTTTTTTTTTTTGTTTAATTCTCAACTGAGGATATTTTTCTGTTTATCATCAGATAGAGTGGGAGGGAGAGAGAGCTAGAGAGAAACATTGATGTGAGAGGGACACATCAACTGGTTGCCTCCTGCACGACCCGACCAGGGCCAGGGACTAACCGTAATTGAGGTACATGCCCTTCACCGGAATCGAACCCACCACTCACTGATCTGCAGGCTGATGCTCTAACTGCTGAGCCAAACTGGCCAGGGCTCCCTAATCTTTTTGTATGCATCTGCCCCATCTGGAAAGCTTTCTGTGTGTGACCTGATCAAATTCATGTGACAATTCTGAAAGCAGGATTTCACTCTCCCCATTTTACAACCCAGGAGACTGTAAGAGGCTCAGAGAGGTGAAACCCTTTGTTTGAGGACATGTAATAGCCACCCCTGCCTCTTAATCAGCATAGCACAATTGCTATGAGCCCAGGGTGGTGTGAGGTTTGAATTAGTTAAAATGTGTAAAGCCTTGCCCTGGCCAATTTGGCTCAGCGGTTAGAGCGTCGGCCTGCGGTCCGGAGAGACCCGGGTTCGGTTCCCGCTAAGGGCACGTACCTCGGTTGCAGTTTGTCCCCGGCCCTGGTTGGTCGTGCGGGTGGCAGCCACTCGATGTGTCCCTTCACGTCGATGTTTCTCACTCTCTCTCCCTTCCTCTCTCTCCCTCCCATTCTATCTGTACAAAAAATGGAAAAATATCCTCGGGTGAGGATAAAAAAAAAAAAAAAAATGTGTAAAGCCTTTAGAACAGGGCTCGGTGCATCCTAAATGCTCTTTGTGTGCTGGGCACTGCTCAGATCCCCACACTAACCCTCCAGAGCGGCACTGTCCATTAGCCCATCTTTTTATTTTATTTTATTTTTTTTGGTACGTGCCTCTAGCAGGAACTGAACCCGGGACTCTCTTGTCCGCAGGCCGATGCTCCAACCGCTGAGCCAAACTGGCCAGGGCATTAGCCCATCTTATAGACAAGGAATTGAGGCTCAGAGGGGTGAGAGAGCCTCACACAGTGCTCACTGCAGCTAAGCAACTTGACGTATATTAAAAATGTTTCAACCAGACAGTCAGCCTAGGAGGTGGGTTGTTATCCCAATTTTCCAGATGGAAATGGCTCAGGAGGTCCCAGGACTAACGTAACGGGATAATAGTAGTCAGCACTCACTAGTCCCTTACTCAGCACCTGGCCCTGTTCGGAGAGCTTTCATTTTTCTGTAACAGCGCTGTCGGAGAGACCTCTCTGTGCTGATGAGAATGGTGCTGTCTGCTGTCCAGTGAAGTAGCCACGAGCCACACGTGACAATTGGGGAAATGAAATTTGAATTTAATTTCAGTTAAATTGTCATGTTTTGGCTAGTGGCTATTTCTTGCACTGGACACAGCAGCTCTACAACAATCCCATAAGGTGGGCACAATTTCTGTTCCTATTTAGCAGATGAGGACATTGAGGCACAGTAAGGTTAAGTCATATAGCCAGTAAATGGGGATGTCTGAGCTGGGATTTGAGCCTGGGGCTCCCTCGTCTATCCCACCATGCTGCCTGTGTGCCGGTGATCTGTCATGGCGTCCCAGGCCATCCCCAAGCCATGTCCTCCCTTGTTTCCCCAGACGGGCACACTGCGGTTCTGCGGGACCACGGAGTTTGCCAGCGGCCAGTGGGTGGGTGTGGAGCTGGACGAACCTGAGGGCAAGAATGATGGCAGTGTTGGTGGTGTCCGGTACTTCATCTGCCCTCCCAAGCAGGGTCAGTCCCACGGGGGGGCTAAAAGGGGTGCTGGGTGGGGTCCACTCAGTAGTTCTGATGTTGTCGACTGGGTAATGGGGCTTAGGGGGTTGATGGCGGGCAGAGGCACAGGGCAGAGGCTTGGACAACTCCCAGCCCAGGCTCTGTCCTCCAGGTCTCTTCGCCTCTGTGTCCAAGATCTCCAAGGCAGTGGACGCACCCCCTTCATCTGTCACCTCCACACCTCGCACTCCCCGGATGGACTTCTCCCGCGTCACTGGCAAAGGCCGCAGGGAACACAAAGGTCAGAGGGGAAGCCCTAGGGGTGAGGAGGGTGAGTCTTGGGGATAATCTGTGGTTAGCCCAACTTCTGTCTTTTGTGACTTAGTTTTTCCTCAGGTCCAAAATCCCTAATTTTACTTTTTTTTTTTTTTTTAAATCCTCACCCAAGTATATCTTTCCATTGATTTCTAGAGAGTAGAAGGGAGGGAGAGGGAGAGAGAGATGCAAGAGAAACGTATCGATTGGTTGCCTCCTTCACGGCCCTGACCGGGGCTGGGGATTGAACCTGCAACCCAGGTACGTGAACCTATGATCCTTCGGGCTAAGGGCTGATGCTCTAACCGCTAAGCCAAACCAACCAGGGCCCAAACTCCCTAATTTCAGAGGAAGACCTTTAGTTCCTGACTTCTGTAACTCAGTTTCTCCTTTGACTTATTACTGGCCCCACCCAGTTCTTGGAAGGACTTGTGGCTTCCCTGCCTTCTATGACTTAGTTTCCCTTTAGACTGGAAAGTTTTTCTCCAGATTTAGGGGAGAATCTATGGGGTTCCTGGCTTTAGTGACTTGAGTATCCTCAGATTCAGCTCCCTCCTGTATTTTATTTTTTTAATTAATTTATTTTTTTTGTGTCGAGGGCTGACTTTCACTAGATTGCAGCGAGGGAGCTGCTCTGCTATGTACGAAACCCCGACCTCTCCTGTATTTTAAAAGGACAACTTCTGAGTTCCTGACTTCTGTGACTAATTTCTTACTTTGGCCCAAATATCCTCAGCTTTGAGAAAGGATTTTGGGGTTCTCCCAATTCTCCACACCCAAAGCCCTACAGTTCTGGGGAAGGCTCTGGAGTTCCTCTGATTAGAGCCAGGACAGAATTTCTGCCTTGGGGCTTTCTGGTGGCATGGGGTCCCCAGGGCTGGTGCCTGTGAGCCCCACCTCACCCCAACCCTTGTACCCTTCACCCCCAGGCAAGAAAAAGGCCCAATTATCTCCATCTCTGGGCAGCCTGCAGCAGCGAGAGGGAGCCAAGACTGAGATCGGAGACCAAGTCCTCGTAGCAGGCCAGAAACAAGGGGTTGTGCGCTTCTACGGGAAGACAGACTTTGCCCCAGGTGAGGACGGGGATCTGGGCTGCAGGGTGGGCAGGGCTTCAGGTATCCTGACACTCCTCTGCTTCAGGTTACTGGTATGGCATTGAGCTAGACCAGCCCACGGGCAAGCATGATGGCTCTGTCTTTGGTGTTCGGTACTTCACCTGTCCCCCAAAGCATGGAGTCTTTGCACCGGCATCCCGAATTCAGAGGTGAGCACAAACTCCAACCTTAACCCAAGGCACCAACCAAGAACCCTGATTCCCCCTCAGAGATCTCCTCTTGTACTAGCAAGACGGTGTGGATACCCACTCCCACATCTGAGCTCTTTACCTGTGGGCCTCCACCCCCATCTCCAGGTCAGACCCTGGCTTCTGAGGCTCTGACTCCTCCCACTCCTGTCTCCCCAGGATTGGTGGATCCACTGACCCTCCTGGGGACAATGTTGGAGCCAAAAAAGTACATCAAGTGACAAGTGAGTTGGGGGCTGGAGTGTGGGGGGGAGGGTTTGGGGATAGGAGGGAGGGTCATGCTAGTGACAGACCTCCAGTATTCAACTGGAACACAGGGTCCAGGAAAATAATGAAGCAGGATCCCCAAGAGGATAGTGCTATGGGATATGGGGATGTTAATGACAAGGCACTGGGGACATGGGTAGGTATTGGAGAACACAGAATATTATTGACAAAAAAAGGTTCATGTGGGTATTGGGAATGTGGGGTCCAGGAGTCCAGGTGGGTAGAGTCTCGGTGGGTATTGAGGGCATGGGTGGGTCTATTATCCCCTCACCTGAGCCTGTGCCCTCCCTTTCAGTGACACAGCCCAAACGCACCTTCACGACAGTCCGGACCCCAAAGGACATTGCTTCAGAGAACTCAATCTCCAGGTGCGTAGCCAGGCCATTGGACATAGGGGTCTGGAGCTCTGGTTGGGGCTAGAAATAGAGGTTAGGAAAACTTGTAACTAGTCAGCTTACTGAGAAACAATCTTTAGGGAGTGAGGCCCTACATTGAATTCTGGAGACTTCAACCTTTAAGGGGCAGATATGGGAGACAGAATACCCTCCACAGGAGCCTGAGAAGGCACAGCCAAAGAGGTAGAGGCAGAATCCAGCAAGGCCAAATTCCAAATACTTGGGGAAGAGCTGCGGGAGATAGATCAGATGTGCCTGCCCTTGCATCGGGGTGACATGGTTCTCCTTTCCAGATTGCTCTTCTGCTGCTGGTTTCCCTGGATGCTGAGGGCAGAGATGCAGTCTTAGAGGCCCTGGACACCTGACAGAGATGGCCCCCTCTAGCATCTCCTGACACAAGGAGCCCCAAGTCACCCTGAGATAGATATTCCCAGTAACACATCCAGAATAGAGACCCCCCACTAGCGAGCCCTTGTTAATCACTGAGGCCCCATTATTAACAGATTCCCCCATGTTAAATGCCCAAATACAGACCCCGTGTTACCCAGAGATTCCCTGAGTGTAGCTCCTTCAGGCTAGTCCCTATCAACCCCTCAGAGCAGAGCCCCCAATAACAGATTTTCACGTCACCCCAAATGATGACCTTCTCCACATAATGCTCCACAGCAGAACATCCCTGAGTCACTCATCCCAGAATCCTCCCCCATTAAAAAACACCCCTTCCACCTCTTCCCATCAAGTCCCCTTGAAATAAACACAGGTCACATTTCCAGAGCTACAGTTACAGACCTTTATGTCACTATGCCACATTTCACATCAGTCCCCTCACGATGTGATTCCCCATAGTTACCCCAAAGCCCTTATACTGCAATCAGAGACCCCCCCTCCATTAACAAAGACTCCTGCTCTTACCCCTGAAGAAGAGACACATTAATCAGGCCACTGGCACCCCCAGTTTACAGACACCAAAACAGTCCTGAAAGTACTAATTACAGGACCCCCAGGTATTCCTACCCCCGAACCCTTAAGAAACCCCCAGTGCCTTGTATGAAGCCCACCCAATATGGCCCACAGCCCCTGTGCTGGCCAGTTCCCAGAAAATTTTCTATTTTTAAAGTAATGACTTTCCCCTTTGGGGGAACCCCAAAATTTGGAGCCCCATTCTGAGACTGGGGATCCCAAACTCCAGGATACAAATCCCAAACTCCCCTGTGACCTCAAGTCCTACAGCCCCTAGAAGACTCCAAAGCCCTAATTCCTAAGACCCCCCAAACCATGGAATCCCCAAATCCCCAAGGGAATCCTAAGTTTAAAAATCCAATCCCAAGTCCCCAGGAAACCCGTCATGGAGGTCCTTGTGCCTGGAATGAAGGAGACTGCAGTCAGGACATGCATCCCAGGCTACCACAGCACCTTAAGCCCTATTCATAGGCACCAGGAGACCCAACAGGAATCCTCATCCCTGAAAATGGCAGGACCTCGATGCCAAGTCATGGATTTCAAGACACCCAAATCCCAAGAGCCCAACCCCAAAGGAACCCCAACTCCTAAAGCCTCCATCTCATACATGAAGGACCCTCAAGGCTTTGGGGGGATCCCAAATTCTGGAGCCCCCATTTCAATCCACGTTTTGGTCACGGGTCCAAAACACCAAATCTGAGACACTGGCCCCAAATGACCTCAACAGCACCCAGGCCAGACCCACAGCCTGAGGGAGACCCTGAAGGCCCAGGGAATCCAGGGCGGACCTGGGGGCCTCACTACCAAGGACAGCTCACGACTGCCCCTCCACTGCATGTCCCCCGAACTCAGCATGACCCCTGCCCCCTTCAATAAAGACGTTTCTATGGCTTCTCTGTGTGGAGCTTGTGTTTGGGGAGTTACAGCCCTGCCACTGTACCGCCGCTGGGGGAGGATGAATGAAGTCCTGTGTTCAATCTCGCCTCCTTGCAGTTTGGGCATAGGATGCTCTAGCCTGCGGGAAGTCCTAACAATCTTGTCTTCTTCCTTTGGTCGCCATGGCTGCCCCGCCCATCTGTTCGGTTCTGGAGCTCTGATTGGTCGGTGCCAGACGAAGACAAGTATCCAAAGGGTCCCCAGTGGCTCAGACGCCGGGAGGCGCAGCCTATCACTGAACGAGGGTGAAGGGGCGGGGCAATATCGCGTGAGAGCGCCGATTGGGTGGAAGGCAGACCCTTAAGGCTTGTGAGAGTTGCCATTGGCCTGAGGACTCGTGCGTCAGAAACGTGGAGGCGGAAGTGGCTGGGAAAGGAATAGGGGTGTTGAATTTGGATATTGGAGGGGACGTTGGTGGACGGTCAGTTTTGTGGGTGGCGGAGGGCGGAAACAGAGGTCCGAGGGAGCTGAGAGTGGGGATCCGGGGAAGCTCATATAGGAGTCCGCGGAAGCGCAGAGTGTCGAGTCTTAGAAGACTCAGAGTGTGGGGGCTGAGAGGTTCAGGGAAGAAAGGTTTGAGGGGAGTCAGACTCAGGGCTATGGGTCCAAGGGTGCTTCAGTGAAGAGGCTCGCGGGAATGGAAATCTGAGGGAGTCCAGAGTGGGGGATCCAAGGAGACAGACTGGACGCGTCAGAGGAGACTCAGATTAGGAGTCTAGGGGGTTCAGAACGGGGCATCTGAAAGGGCTTGAGGCAGGAGGAGGGTCCAGGGGGACCCTTAATGTTGTTAGAGAGCGAAGCTCATGGTTGCAAATCTGAAGTTGTTAGGAAGGGGTCTCAAGATGTTTAAAGGGGTTCTGGCCTGCAGCCCTTGAGAAAGGCTCCCAGTGGGGTCAGAGGATGTTCTCTGTGAAAGGATGTTCTGTCTTGCTAGAACAAATCTGTGTAGTTTGATAGGCCCTTGGCGGATGGAGTTTGGGTGTTCTGGGGGCTCACTGGGTGGTTTCTGAGAGGCTGAGGACTCAGGTTTTAGATATTGAGCAAGTTTGATTAGAGGGCTGAGGTGAGGCCCTGACCTATGATAGAGCAGAAAGCAGGGTCATAGCCTGCAGGTAGGAGGCTTGGTGACTTTAGCATGTTCTCCCCTTCCCACAGGACTGGGTGCATGGAGTTGGTGTCAATGGAGGATCAGGACTCCAGGGTCCCAGCCCTGGAACCATTCAGGGTGGAGCAGGTTGTCAGGACTGGGGATGCAGAGGGTGAAGGTGGGGACTAGAGGGTGGGAAATAGAGTGGGGATAGAAGGCTGACTCCTGGTTTTGTGAGCTAGGACTGCTCCCTCCAACTTCATTCTACCCCCTATTTCACCCCCACTTCCTACCGCCAAAATGGGCATTGGCCCCTCAACTTCAGGCCCTGGCCTGTCTGGGGACATCCTGAGCCTCACTACAAAGGGAGGGGGCTGCTAATCTCTGCTAGGGTTCCTGTGTAGGTAGGTCATAGGGCATCACTTTCAGGGAGATCTCTCTATCCTAGGCACCACCTATAATCTACTATGTCCCTGACTTCATCTCCAAGGAAGAGGAGGAGTATTTGCTTCGACAGGTGACCTCAATGCCCTTTCTGATGTTTTTTCCCCCCTTTCCAGATCTTTCCCCAAACCCTAGTTCCTGTGTGAGAGCCCCTGAGGCTATAGTGAAGATCCTGGCAGGAAGAGAGTGCCACACAGCACCCATCCCTCACCTTCCCTATTCCTCTCTCAGGACCCACTGGGCCTGTCAGAAAGAGCTTTTCCCAGGAAGCTTAGGGGAAACCAAACTGTTTTTTGTTTTTTTTTAATCCTCACCCGAGGACATTTTTCCACTTTGGTTCAGATAGAGTGGGAGGGGGAGGGGAGAGAGAGAGAGAGGGAAACATCGATGTAAATGGGACACATCGAGTGGCTGCCTCCTACATGACCCCAACCAGGACCGGGGATGAACCGCAACTGAGATACGTGCCCTTGACTGGAATTGAACCTGTGACTCATTGGTCCACAGGCCGACGCTCTAACCACTGAGCCAAACCAGCTAGGGCCCAAACTGCTTCTTAGAAAGGAAGTGATTATTATGGAGCTCAGACTCCCTGTGCTGAGAAAGGCCAGTCCAGCTTCCATAACAAAGATGTTACTGAGATCAGATTCCTTGTACTGGAATAGCCCAGTACAAGCCCAGAGCCTCAGAAACAAGGAAGCTACAGAGTCATACTCTCTGTGCTGAAATAGCTCAATCCTGCTATCTTAGAGAAAAGGTGGTTATAAATATAGGCTGAGATAGCCCAGTTCAGGCTTTTGATGTTTGGAGAATGAAGAATTTGCAGTGTTCAGATTTCTGTCCTGAGATAGCCCAGGCCTCATAATTTTATAGAGTATACTCTTTCCTCTGCTGAAATAGCTCAGCATAGACCCAGAGTCTTGGGAACAAGGTTTCCGAGCACAGACCACCTGTGCTGAGATAACCCAGTCTATTCTATTTTTAAGGTTTGGGGAAACAATTTATAAAGCTCAGTCCTTGCACTGGGATAACCCTTTGCAGCCCAGCCTTAATTATAGAGTGCAGATATTCCCTGTGCTATTCCAACTAGTTCTGTCTAGTTTGAGTCCCAGGGATAAGTTAGCCATAGAACACAGACTCTTATGCTGAGATAGCCCATTCCTGCCCCATAACCATAAAGGGAACGAGGAGATTATTGAGTAGAGTATGGATGAAGATTGCCCATTCTAGACCTTTGGGATCTTGGCAGGGAGAATTTTCAAAGTACTCTCTTTGCTATGCTGAGAGAGCCCAGTGTAGCACATTCCCTCCCCCAGGTGATGGGAACAAGGAGGTTCAAGAAGGCAGACTGTTTTGAGATAGCCCAGGAAATTACAGGGTGCAGACTATTTACTGGGCTAAAAGAGCCTAATGCAGGCCAGAGCTCTGAGTAGATTCAGACCACAATTGTGTAGCACTGATTCCTTTCCTCAATCCCAGTAGACATAGGTGGGCTTTGGGGCCAGCAGCCTCCACAGGGGAAAGGGCAAACAGCAACATCTTGGGAACACTCTATCCCAGAGAATGATCCCAGACACTGAGACAACCCATTTCCACCCCAGGTAAAGACCTCTAGGTTGGCCTGGGTGGGAGAATCAGAGAGAGTGGTCCTGAAAAATGAGTGACCCCTCCCCACCTCCCAGGTCTTCAATGCCCCAAAACCAAAGTGGACTCAGCTCTCTGGGAGGAGGTTACAGAACTGGGGTAAGTGTTCCTGCCTGGGGGCAGGGGTGATTTGAGGATGTGGGCTGGGGCAGGTGGCTCAGGATGGTTAGTCTTAAGATATTGGGGGGCCCTTGAGAGTTCAAGGGATTGCAAGGGCCAGGAGGATTCAGAGGGGTCAGTAGAGGTTCTATGGGGCTAGGGATTTCCTTATAAGTTGGGGGTCTCAAAGGTTCCAGGGGTTTAGAGGCATCAGGAGACCTTTGAAGGGTTGGGTGGTGATCTCCAAAGAGTCAGGCATCCCTGAGGAGGTCAGAGTGCTGTCAAACCCTGTGATATCATTAGTGAGGGCTTGAGGTGCCAGGGCTCCTTGGTTAGGTGCTCTCAGGACCCCATTGCCCTCCTCCAGGTGGGCTCCCCCATCCCCGGGGGATGGTTCCTGAGCGGCTTCCTCTGTGGCTTCAGCGCTACGTGGACAAAGTATCTGACCTCAGTCTTTTTGGAGGTCTCCCAGCCAACCACGTCCTTGTGAACCAGTATCTGCCTGGGGAGGGCATCATGGTAAACACACACCCTCACCCCATCCCCCAGACCTCTGATCCATCATGGGGCAAAGCATCTTGTTGACCCACCTCCACTCTCATTAAACAGCCACATACCCCAAGCAGGCATTCACCTCTCTATTCCCAGCTTGGGAGGCCCCCTTGAACCCCAGAGGGTGGGGGGGGTTCCTGCCCTGTCCAGCCCTGATGCCCACTCCCCAGCCCCACGAGGATGGACCACTGTACTACCCGACCGTCAGCACCATCAGCCTGGGCTCCCACACCATGCTGGACCTCTACGAGCCACGGCAGCCAAAGGATGATGACCCTACAGAGCAGGTGGGCCCTGGGACACTGCCCCATACACTCTTGGGCACTCTGACATTCCACATCCTCTGAGAGGCCCCAATCCCACCTGCCTGCAAGATATCCTTGACAGCCTCCCAGATAACCTTCCCCTGTCCCCTCATGGAGTGCAGCCATATCTTCCCAGACACCTAAGCCATCTGCTTTCAGGGAGCCCTAGAAATCTTGATATCCACAGACACTGCAATACCCCCACCTGCTGATTGGATGTGGTCAGACTATTCCAATAGCCCAAGGTCCACATACCCCATGCAGGCTTCCCGAATACTTCAGCAGACACTGATATCCTCAGATAATCCAACACCATTCACTCATGGGTGTCCCTGTCATCCTCCCAGAAATCCTAACTCTCTCTGCCTAATGTACAGAGTATCCCGACACAGACCTCCCTGCCACTACAACGTGTGATCTGCCATAGGGCACTCCCAGATTCTCCTTGGCATCTCAACCCCTCACCTGCTTTCAAGGATCTTCTAGATAGCCTGACTGTCCTGAGGGCTGCTCATGATAGCAGCTTCCCTGCCCTCTTTCTCTGAGTGATGCATTTCCGACATCCCTGCGTTCACAGAAACCCCCTGGATGCCCTGTCCCAGCCTGCTCCTTAGGACTTCCCTTTTTAGTGCTACATACTCCTGGATACACCTGATACCCCGCCTACTGTGCCGGTTTTCTAAAAAATCTCGATGTCCGCACATATACCCAGACTAAGCCGGATCATCTCTGCTTCATTCTGCCGCTCCCTCCCCCTTCCCCCCACCTCCTGGCTTCTGTCAAGCCTTCAACCCAGTTCCATCCAGTCCCACCCAGTTCCCTGCGACCACTGATCCCTAGGTCCGGGCCCCAGCCTCTTGGAGATCCCAGCTGCAGCCTAGTTCCTGCCTCTCTCGAGGGACTGCTGACCCCACCCCGTTCCCCATGGCCCTGGCTCAGGGATCCCCTCCACCCCCTGATTTTCACTCCAAAGCTTCGAGCCCTGGGAGCACGCCTGCCCCTCAGTCTTTATCTCTGGGGACACGCTGACCCCAAAGTCTGCTAACTTCTCGCCCACCCTCCTACTCCTGGGGACCCACTGACCGTCAATACGCCCTGCAGCCCCGGCCCCCGCCCCGGCCGACCACCTCGCTGCTGCTGGAACCCCGCAGCCTGCTGGTGCTCCGTGACACCGCCTACACGCGCCTCCTCCACGGCATCGCAGCCGCCTCCGTAGACCCGCTGGACACTGCCTCCCTGCCGCTCAACGCCGCCGCCTGCCCGTCGGCGCTGCCGGGAGCCCGCCTAGTCCGCGGCGTCCGCGTCTCGCTGACCATCCGCCGGGTGCCCCGCGTGCTGCGCGCCGGCCTCCTCCTCAGCAAGTGATGCCTGGCCCCAGGACCCGCTGGGCTTCCCGAGCTATGGACTCAGACAGCTGCGACCCTGCAACCTTGAAACCCTGGGGCAGGGGCGGCTCCCGAGTTATCTTCCCAATAACTTTGTGGAAACCACAGGAAAAGGCCTCGTTTCAAATAAACCAACAAAAATCTTTATTTGGTTTTGGATTGGGGGTGGGGTGACAGATGCTTGTGTTCTTGAGGGGTGCTGCTGAGTCTGGGACACCAGATGGTGTGGGCCTTGGAGGTTGGAATGGGCTCAGATGAGCTGGGCAGAATCCAGGATTCTTGAGGGGCTGGATTGTATCTGGAACCCCACTGGGGGGGGGGTGAGCTGGGAGGTTCGCCTACTGGTCTGCTAGGGAGTTAAGTGGTGCCACTGTCACCTGGGCTGGCATCAAATTACCTGGGTCCAGGTTTCACTTGAAAGGAGGTAAAGCCGAGCCTGCTCCTAGGCCTCCATCTGCTTCAGGCCTGGGTGAGTCCTACTGTGGATGTCTGAGGGGACACCACTGTTTAGGAAAAAGGCCCTCACAGGGGATCCTCACTGACTCTGTCCCCAGGCCTCCAGCTATGGCTCTGCCCCCATCTCTGGACCCTGGACCCCACTCAGAGTCTCTCAACCATCCCCCTGGAGCCCCTAGGGAACTGGACATTGCGGAATGCACCATCTGCCCTTCTTCTGAAGAGGAAAGAATCAGGTAGGGGCTGCGGCTACTGAAACGGGTCCTAATGAGGTGGCGGCAGTAGCAGGGGCACTTGGAGGGTAAGAGGTACTATGGCTATGATCACCTGGGGATGTGGGAGAGGGAGCGGGACGGGTAGGCTGAAGTAGGCTCACCCAAGGGTCTGTCAATGCCCCCTCCCTTCCAGGCCAGGGCAAGCCCAGAAACTGGGGCAGGACTCTTTGGACCCTCCCGAGCACTTCCAGGGTGGGCTGAGGGACACGGAGCCTATATCTGGTCACCCCAGATTGCCAACGCCTCCTTCCCATGAGGATTCCACTGGGGGCAAACACTGTGAGGTGAGTTGAGGTGACCCAGGCCCCTTGTGTCCCCACTTCTTTTCTTTCCCCTAGAAGCTGGCCTCCACGCTGGGATAAAGTGATGATTCTGGACAAGTGTTGGGCACCTGTGGGGGGAGGGATACTGTAGAAAATGATTCTTTACCAATCGTTATAGAAGTATTTCAAACAGAGAGAATTATTTCATGATTGGCTCTGGTGCAGCCTCATTCCTTGTAGGGGTATCCAGCTCCATCACCCTTACCCTGTCCAGACCCCCAGGCCCCGCATGTCCAAGTTTCTAGGAGCCTTGAAAACCTTGAGACTTTCAACTAGAGGTTTTCCCGAGGCCTTGCTCCACTGGGAAGGACTCCAGGTGGGAGCAGCCCTGGTGCAGATCCAGAGATGGACTCTGCTGCAGAGAAGCATCCAGAAGGCAGGAGTCTGCAAGAGTCTTGGCAGTGAGAGTCTCGGTTTACCCACCGGCACTGACTCAGCCCTTTGTGTTTCCCAGAGCCCCATCTCTGGCTGGGAGGTACTGGAGGCTGAGCAGGACAACCTGCACCTTTGCCTATTGGGCTTGGGCCTCCGCCTGCAGGACCTAGAGCGAGGCCGGGGGCCCTGGACATGGGCCCAGAGCAGGATGGTCCAGCTGCAGGTGGGCAGTGGGAGGCCAAGGTGTGGGAAGACGGGCAGGGCCTCAGGAGTGGGTGCCAGCCCCCTGGGGTGGGAAGTGGATTTATTCCATGTTCTAGGTATCTGGGTAGGAAAGGGGGGCATGTAACTCCAGGTTCCAGGTCTCTGGGTCCTTTGGTGTATGTGTGTGTGTGGGGGGGGTGTCCAACCATGTGTTCCTAGACCCTGCAGGCAGACCTACGTGGAGCAGCTGAACGTGTAGACGCACTGCTGGCGTTCAGTGAGGGGCTGGCACAGCGGAGTGAACCTCAAGCCCGGGCATCTCTGCAGCAGGTCCTGAGGGCCCTTAGAGCCCACCGAGACAGCATCTTCTGGTGGCTATGGCGGCTGCAGACCCAGCTGGTCAGTTACAGTCCGGTATGGCCCACTGTGGTGATCCCAGCCCTGGTGCCAATTTCATAACCCACCCTGTCCTCTATCCTCTGACCAGGTATTTGAGGAGGCCAACACACTGGACCAGGATTTAGAGATTGAAGCGGACTTGGACTGGCCAGGACCTGGTGGGGTCTGGGGGCCCTGGGCTCCCAATAACCTCCCCACTCACGCAGAGTTAGAGTGGGACCCAGCAGGGGACGTTGGGGGCTTCGGGCCCTTGGGGCAAAAGACAGCCTGGACACCAGGGGTGCCCTGTGAGCTGTGTGGCCACAGGGGTCCCCAGAGCAGGGGACAAGGCCTTGAGGTGAGAGCAGGTGGGGGACATCCCCACCCAGGCACCCACAAGATACCTCTAACAGGGTCCTTTCCTTTCAGGGTCTTGGTGGCTCTGTCTCTCCCTCTATCTCTCTGTCTCTTTCTCTCTTGGTGTCTGTGTTTTCCTCCCTCCCTCTGTCGCTTTTGGTTTCTGTATCTTCCTCTTTCTTACTCTGTCTGGCTTTCTTTCTCCTCCATCTATACATACATTTCCTCGTTTCCTCTCACTCTCCCCCTTGCTCAATCTGCGACAGCCACACTAGCCTCTTGACCCTTCTTTAAACATTCCAGGTTCACTCCCATCTCAAAGCCCCAGATGCATGCCCAGCCGCCTCACTTCACTCCAGTCTTTCCTCAAATGTCACCTCTTCAGAGAGACTGCTCTGGCCTCCAAACATTATCCTTATCCTTACTTTATTTCCTAACAGCACTTATACCATATCTTGACATTATACATCTATTAATTTATGGTCTCTCTCTCTCCTGCTAGAATAAAAGCTCCATGGACACCAGGACTTTGCCTGTTTCCATTGCCACTGTGTCCCCAGCTCCTGGAACACTGCCTGGCATGTAATAGACACTCATTAAACATTAGTTGAATGAATGAATGAATAATGTTTCTCCTCTCGGGTTCTTTGGCTCTGACCCTCTCTGTCTCTTCCCAAGATCCTTCTCTTTCCCCCAGCATCACATCTCTATGACGCCCCCCAACTTTGCTGTTCCCCAACCTTGTGTCTCTTTGTCACCGGTTCTCCCAGGACCCCACAACTCTCTCTTTCCACAGGACTTACTCATGTTGGGTCTCAGCCACCGGAAACATTTAGCAGGTCACCAAAGACACTCCCTGCTCCAGAAGTCTCAGGTGAGCTGGTCCTCAGCCAGGTACATCACTTGGGAATCCCGATGGCAAGGGGCCCAAATTGAATTACACAAAAGCGGGGATGCTCTTTTTTCATGTTACTGAAAAGTCCAGGTGCTATTGAATTCAGGACCTCTAATGCTGTCAGGGCTCAGTCCCTCCCTCTCTCTACTCTACTTCTCCAAAGTAGACTCTTTCTCAGCAAAATGGCTACCCTAGTAGCTACACTTTCTATTGGTCTACCCACCCTAAGAGGAGAATGCCACTGACCTACTAGCAGCCAGGTCCCAGGGCTGATTCCACTCCCCAGCGTGGGTCATGAACCAATCAGTGGCCAAGCTGATGGAAGGCTCTGATTGGCCATATCTGGGTTATATGCCCAATCATGGAAGTGGAAGTGTGCCCTTAGGAGAGTGGGGAGGTGTGACACCCTTATACCTAGCAAATTGAGCCCCTGTTACCAGGAAAAGGGGAATTGGCTGGAGGACAGGCACAGATAGACATCCACTACACTTAGAGATACTCCAAGCCCATGGGATGAAGGGGGTACCAGGAAAGGAGAAATAAGTCCTGTAGGTCTATGGTAGTAAGGGAAAGTCCACACTAAGTGTCCCTTCCATCCATTCTGCCACTGGCTGCTATCTACCCTTAGGACAAGAAGAGTCAAGCATCTTCCAATCTCCGGGATGTGATGCTGGAGGTAGATTCTGGGTGAGCTGCCTGGGAGATGGGTCTGGGGGTGTAAGGGACAGGGCTCATGATGGCAGCCCACTGTGTATTTAACACTGCATTTCCCTTCACAGGGCCCCCACTCCTGCATCTGGGCGGCCCCTGACCTTCCTCCTCCTCCTCCTCCTCTTCCTTCTCCTGGTGGGTTCCACATTGCTCCTGCCACAGTCAGGGGGCTCCTGCTGTTCTCCTGCCCGACTGGCAAGGACACCTCACTTGGTGCTCAACTATGTTAATGGTCCCCCACCAATCTGAGTACATAGCCCAGACATATGTAATAAATGGTCACTTGTCAAAGGACATGTCTTAGTCCGTGTAGGCGGCTGGAACAAAATAACATAGACTGCGTGGCTTATAAACAATAAAAATGTATTTCTCAGTTCTGCAGGCTGAAAAGCCCAAGATCAAGGCGCTGACAGATTCAGCATCTGGTGAGGGCCTGCTTCCTGGTTCATAGGTGGCCGTCTTCTTGCTGTGTCCTCACATGACAGAAGGAGCAGGGAGCTCTCTGGGTCTCAAAAGAGATTAAGGCCTGCACCCTCAGACCTAATCACCTCCTAATACCGTCACATAGTGGGTTAGGATTTCAACATATGGATTTTGAGGGGACACAAATACCAGTCTATTGCAGGATGTGTTAGGGTACTGGGTGCTTGAGTACTCGGAATCTAGACGACGCTCTGATATATCTGGACAGCCCCCTCCACAGATCCCTTTACCTTGAGCACAGAACACAGAACTGAATCAGCCCTAGACCCTGAGATAAAGGTTCAAGCATGGGTAGTTTATTGAGGTGATTCTAGGCAGATTGTCGGGGTGTGAGGAAGTGAGCCAGGGAAGGGAGTTGGGCTGGTTGCTGCTCTGGGCACCTGGGGTGCCATCCCACTAGAATAACTTTGAGTATGTTATTTGAGAATAAGGAGTTGGCATTTATGGAAACAGCTCCCATCTCTCACTGGTTCCTGAAGTTGTCAGCTCCCCAGAACTTCCAGCTTCTCCTGTCTGTAAAGTCCCCCAGGCCAAGAAGCACAGGTGCTTTCCACAGGAAGCTAGAGGTAGGTACAGAAAGGGTGCAGGTGATATAAGCAAGCTGCTGACAGCACCTGCTGTAATCCCTGACGTGCATCTCTACGTGTGCTCTGTTCAAGCATTCTATATGGTGGGCTCCCAGGCTGAGCCATCACTAGCACAGGACTGTGAGACCCCTCTTCCGTGGGTCTTGATGACACCAAGTGGAATTTCCAGGGCTCAGTCCTGGAGTCCAGTACCCAGCCTCAGGTGTCTAAGATCATATACGTAGGACAAGAAGTGGAACAGAATCAGACTCAAGAACAGAGACAGGAGCCTTATGGTAGGCTCCTGGATGTGCACTTAAGATAGATCTCCTCCTGCCTGGGTCGACGCTCAACCAGTGAGCCACACCGGCTGGTCTGATTTGACTTCACTTTTATTTATTTATTTTAGAGAGAGAAGGGAGAGGGAGAGAGATAGAAACATCTATGAGAGAGAACATCGACTGGCTACCTCCTGCATGCCCACCATTGGGGATTTGGCCCACAACCTGGGCATGTGCCCTGACTGGGAATCGAACCAGCGACCTCTTGGTGCAGGGGTCAATGCTCAACCACTGAGCCACACCAGCTGGGCTAACTTCATTTATCTCTGGTGACAAAGTAGCCCTCAAAACCTCCAAGCATACATCCCACCAATTTGGTAGCCAGTAGGAGAGTCACTCTTCAATTACATTTCCAAAGTCCCAAAGGTGACTCTCTTTGCTAATGTCACATGCCTTCCTGGGGGCTGCAGTCAGCCCTGCCAGAAATGTGTACTGAGATCGAGGAAGGAGTGGGTCTGCAAAGAAAATCAGGAAGCTATTATCTGAAGGGAGGATGGACACTGAGGGAGGAGGGTAGGGCAGCAGCAGATTCTGGGAGACTCCAGGTTCAGGGGTAAGTCAGGATGCAAGCGTGGGTCTGTCCTGTTTCAAATGCCAGGCCAAGTCTCTGTCCCCAACCAAGGAGGAGGCAGTCTCCCAGGAGTCACTACAAATAGGATGGGCAGTTTTGGCAATATTGACCCTAATGACCGGGTAATGAAACAAATGTGTCATTCACCCCTTCATTCAACATTGACTGTCTTCAGTAAGCCAGGTCCTGGTCAAAGAATAGGGCAATGACAGTGAATTTAAAGGCTAAAATTCTTGTCATTGTAGTCCACTTCCCTTAACTCCCAGAAAGCTTGCAAGCAGAGGAGCAGAGATGCCAGGCTCAGGGCAGGAAGCTGGCAGCCTCCTTTTCCAGCTGCCAGTGAACTCAAGTAAGCAAGAGGGTCCTGGGGTTGGGCACCATCATCTGCTGCCACAACATGTACTTAATTCACTGTATCACCAAAACAGGCACACGAGGGAGGCACCATAATGTCCATTTCACAGATAAGGGCATTGAGGCATACAAAGATTAAATCACCTTCCATGATCACACAATCAGTATTGGAACTGAGATTCAAATACAGATTTTCCAGTTCGGGAATGCAAGCTCTTTTTTGTTGTTAATCCTCACCTGAGGATATTTTTTCCATTGATTTTTAGTGAGAGTGGAAGGGAGGGAGGGAGGAGGAAACATCAATGTGAGAGAGACACATCAATTGGTTGCCTCCTGCACACACACCAACCGGGACGGGGATCAAACCCACGCACCACCCTTACCTTCGGTGTGGTGTGCAGGCCAACGCTCTAACCACTGAGCTCACGGCCAGGGAGGGAGTGCAAGCTATTAATCACCACTCAGGTACAACCTCCTCCCTCAAATCAGATATTCCCCTCCCCCATCCTCTCTACCAAGCAACTCTTCACCTGTAATGCCTGGGTGAATGTCTCCTCTCGTGATCCAGGAACCCAACCCCAGGGGAACTCGCTCATTGTCTGCAGTGCTGCCAGAAGCTCCCATCCTGAAGCTTATTAGGGCACAAGATCTGGAGCCAGGAGTAAGCAAGAGGAGTAAGACAGATGGGAGATGCAGAGGAGACATAATGGGAGCTGGATGGGTAGGACCCTATTAGCCACTTTTGACTTTGGCTTTTACTCTGAGATGGAGCCAGGGCAAGATTAAAAAGATTACCTTGATGAAAAACAGAGGCTAAGAGTGATGAACAAGGTGACAAAGGTCCGTAGAGACGTGAGGTGAGTACTAATCAGAGATAAAGCTGAGCTAGAAGCCAAACAGCCCGAGCCCTGAGGCATACCAGGTCCCACCTCTGACCCTGCATTTCTCCCCTTTACTTCCCCCAGGCCTTTGCCCACACTAGTCTATCCCTACCTTCCAGCTTAGAAGCCTATCCCCACCTTCAGGTAAAGTCCTTACAATTTGTCAAATTTCAACCCTACTTTATAACTATTGGGTACTTGCCTCCACCACTGGGATTAAGACAGAGACTAATCAGAGACTGTTTTTTTTTTTTTTTTTCTGTCCTCCCTTTGGTTTGAGGTCTGGGCTCCTTTCCTAAGGTCCTTTTCCACCTTTTAACTGCATCTGCTAAGAATTCATCTGCTTCCCACTTATAACTGACCTGGGTGCAAATATAGCTCAGGATTGCAAAATGCAATACTCCAAAGAATGTCTAGGGAAAGCACACACTGGGACATGAGAGAGCATCTGCCTGTGGCCTATGGGTCCATCTCTTCTCTCCCAACCCTGGGCCTCGATGACAAAAATCCCAACTTTTTGCTGAGGCTGGACTCCTCACTCAAGTTGAGAATCCCATTACTGCCTCAGGGGTTACCAGCCAGTCCTCAGCTCCACCATCTCCACTCCTGCCTCACTACTCTCCATTAAGGAGTCAACTGGCATTTCTTTGGGGGTCAAACCTGGGTGGGTTTCATGATGGATCTGCCCAGTAGAGAGATCTGTGCTGCTTCAACCAGTCTGCCAGTCTGCAGGGTTCCAGAGGGGAAGAGACAGCTCCCAACACCCATCCCTCCCAGAGGGTCACTTCTTGATGTGTGGGGCCTCTTCAAAAATCCCCAAACACATAAAATCTTAAGACCACCAACAGGGAAGTAAGCACATTTCCAATTTTATTCCCTTTGTTTGACAGTCCTGAGGGTGGAAGGGTGCAGGAGTCAGGGCTCCCCCTCAGAACCAGTAGGTGTAGAGGTCTTGAGGGGTCTTTACATAGCTGGGATGCGACCCCTAGCTCCTTCCTCACCAGTCCTAGTTTGTTACAATTAATGGGGGATTCCGGGATTCTCACCGTATATCAGGGCATCTTCTCAAATTCCTCAGCACAAAAAGTTTGCTGTCATAAGAGTTAAATACTGAGAGGGGAGTTCAGGAGCTAGGGGTTAAGAGAAGGATGTTTCAGTCTCTTTTGGTCCAACGGGGTCATCCTGGCTCCCCATGCCTTGGAGAAGTAGCTCTCAGCCTAACACAGTCCAGCCAGCTGGCGACCCAGGCCGCCCCAAGCTCTCAAGAGGGAGTCCGACAAGTTATCACGGATCTTACAAGCACCTCTCACCATCTTCATAGTGGTCTTTGGACCCTACGTCGCCAGGGGGGCTCTCCGATTCCCCCAATCCATCGAGCTAGTCTATCAAGACCTCTCACCTTTCATCAGGCGGGTTCCCTGGTCGCACCACCCACGCAGCCAGGCGCCCCCGCTTCCCCTGCTCCATCACATGAGCTCTGCAGTCTGTCACCGTCCATCCGGCGGGGTCTCCGGTGACCCCTTGCCATCGAGTGGGCTCCTCGAATCGTCACCATTGTCAGGAGAGGTCCTAGGGGGCCCGGCGCCCGGACGCACGAAGGCGCCCATGGCTACCGCGTGGCTGGAGCGTAGCAACTGGAGCTGGCGTCTCCCGCGGCGGTACAAGTATTCGATGCGTAACACGTCGGAGCGTGGCAGACAGGCGTGCTGCCGAAACTCGGCTCGCACCCGCGCCTCCGCCCCCGGCTTGCCGCGCCCGGCGCGCAGCAGCTCGCGGTACAGGCTCAGAACTTGCCTCTGCAGCCGGCTGGGCCGGCTCATGGTCGAGCTGGGCGCGGGCAGTGGCAGTGGAGCAACAGCCCCGGGGGCACAAAGCCGGGTGCGAGGCAACAGGCACTTCCGCTCCGCTCTCCAAAACTCCGCCTCCGGGCTCCCTTTATCCGGTGCCGACGCGCCCCGTCGACTGTCGCTGCGGTTGCGTCACCACGTTGTGCGTAAGGGGCGGGGCTTCTGGTTCGCTGGCCCGCCCCGCAGGAAAGCCGTGTCCTTGAGGGGACCGCGGTTCTGAGAAACCGAAGAAGGGGATGGGCAGCTGGTGGTCTGACCTTAACTCCTGAGGCAGCTAGAGGTTAGGATACTGGTCCGCCCCTCTTCCGGGCGCGGGGGCACTGGGAGAGGGGACAGGCACCAGCATTTTTGGATATTTATTTAATTATTATTTTTTGGTTAATCCTCACCCGAGGCTATTTTCCTATTGCCTTTTAGATAGTGTGGGAGGGAGGGAGAGAAACATCGATATGAGAGAGACACATCGATGGTTGCCTCCCATACGACTCCTACAGGGGCTGGGGATCAAACTTGCAACCCAGGTACGTGCCCTTGCCCGGAATCAGATCCTTCCGCCAGGGGCCGATGCTCTATTTAACAGCTCGATGGCTGTTAAATAACTATAACAGCCAAACTGGCCATGGCTGTTATAGTAATTTATTCAAACAATCTGGGGAAGCTCCGAAGGTGGGTGGCCCCAACCCTGGGGACATGGTCGCGGTTAAGTGTTAGGTCCAGGGGCAGGACAAGCTTGTCCTTGATCTGGGAAGACAAGCAGAGAAAGGGTTAGGGTTAGGCTTCAAGCCCCCAAAGGCAGCCTGTGGCGCACCGAGTTGTGACGACCGCCTCCCCTGCCGGGTGGGTCGCGGGGCGGGAGAAGGAGGGTCCTCACCAGCCGTTGAAGCCTCCGCAGGCCTGGAGCACGTGGACTGGGCTAGTACCCCAAAGCCCTCGTGGGAGTATCAGGTAGTCGCCCGCAATGCCCTTGTAGTCCTCGCAGGCTGCCAGGGGGCGTCCTCGTAGCGCGGAAGTCGCCCGCAGGGCCACAGCCTCCTCGGGCTCCAACACTACCGGGAGTGTGGGGGCCCCTACTGCGGAGAAGGGAGGCGAGTTAGGGGCGGGGATTAGGGCCGGAGTTCCGGAGTCAAGGGGGTGTTCAGAAACCACCGTGAATCCTGCACGTGTCTCTATCAGAGATATATATGCAAGTCTTTGCTAGAGGAATGTATGAAGTTTGCTTTAAAATCCTCCAGAGTGAGGAAAAGATGAAAGCAGGAATGGCGAAATATTTGTAACTGTAACAGGGTTGCATAGCACTATTCTCTCTTCTATGATGCTTGAAATTTTCCATAGTAAACACTTTCCTAAAAGGGAGCTTTAAAGAAAAAAAAAACGCCTCTGGATAATGCATTGACACAGTATATTAATATAATATGCAATATAATACGATAGAATTGATATATATATTTTAAATCCTCACCCAAGGATATTTTTCTATTTATCTTCAGAGTGGGAGGGAGAGAAAGGGAGAGAGAAACTTCCACATGAGAGGGACACATCCACTGGTTGCCTACCACACAACCCAGACCAAGGCCAGGAACAACAGCAACCGAGGTAGTGTCCTTGGCCAGAACTGGACCCGCAATTCATTGGTGGGGGGCGGGAGGGAGGGGGAGCACTCTACCGCTGAGCCTAACGGCCAGGGCGCAATTGATATTTTAATATATTGTTACCTTCTTTATGTTACTTTATGTAAGTAATTTCTCTTAAAAATAGTGAACGTTTAAAATAGTTTAGCCCTGACCTGTTTGGCTCAGCCGTTAGAGTGTCGGCCTGCGGTCTAGAGAGACCTGGGTTTGGTTCCCGCTAAGGGCATGTACCTTGGTTGCAGTTTGTCCCTGGCCCTGGTTGGATTGTGTGGGTGGCAGCCACTCAATGTGTCCCTTTCATATCGATGTTTCTCTCTCTCTTCCTCTCTCTCCCTCTTTCTCCCTCCTACTTTATCTGAACAAAAAATGGAAAAGTGTCCTCAGGTGAGGATAAAAAGAGAAAATAGTTTAAGCTTTAAACTATTTTAAATACTAAATACTTTAAATACTAAATCCTCACCAACACTGACATCAAAGATAGATGTGCAGGACTATATACAATACTATATGCCTCTTGCCTTGTACTGATAAACTGCAGCCCAGAGAAATAACCTAGCTTGCCCAGGTTCACATGGCTGGTAAGTGGCAGAGCCAGGAGTTCTGATTTTATGGCCTGCGTTCTTTTTGTTTTTTAAATCCTCACCTGAGGATATTTTTTCATTTTTGTTCAGATAGGTTGGGAGGGAGAGAGAGAGGGAGAGAGAAACATCTACGTGAGAGAGACATACCAACTGGTTGCCTCCCCCACGACCCAACCAGGGCCGGGGATGAACTGCAACCAAGGTATGTGCCCTTGACCGGAATTGGACCCACGACTCACAAGCCGACACTCTAACCACTGAGCCAAACTGGCCAGGGCTGACCTGTGTTCTAGCCACTGTGCTATATATACTGCCTCTCCAGTAATAACAATATAAAGAGCTTAGACTTACTCAACACATTATATGCCAAGCATGTATCCTCACAGCTACCCTATGTGGTTGGTACTATTATTACCACTTTTTGTGGATAAGTAAACTGAGGCACAGAGAAAGGTTGTGCCATTTCAGCAAGGTTACACTAGACATTTAAAAGACACAATCAGCCCTGGTTGGTTTGGGTCAGCGGTTAGAGCGTCATCCTACGGTCCAGAGAGACCTGGGTTCAGTTTCCGCTAAGGGTGCGTACCTCGGTTGCAGTTTGTCCCCCGCCCTGGTTGGTTGTGCAGGTGGCAGCCACTCGATGTGTCCCTTTCACGTCAATGTTTCTCTCTCTCTCTCTTCCTTTCTTTCCCTCTCACTCTGCCTGAACAAAAAATGTCCTCAGGTGAGGATAAAAAAAAATAAAAGACACAATTCATAGGCTTCTGTCTGAGGAACAAGAATACATAGAAATGTCACATACACTGGCCTCTGTGAACAGTTTAGGAATGGGCAAATGACCTACCTTGGGACAATAAGAGCCAGTGCTGGGACTTCTGCTGGAACTATTTGAGGGAGAAGTGCTGTCTTCCTGCTGAGATCGCTAAACTGTATGTCTAAACCTGGAGCAGTAGACCACCACAGCCCCACAAACACAGAAGTGGTTTGAGAATAAGGCCTGAAAGGGAGGAGGCCTGAACTTCTTGTGGTGGGGGGCAGATGAGGGCAATACCATAGGGGAGGCAGAACCGCATGATAGAAGGAGCCTGTGTCCCTGACTTGGAGGAACCAAACTAGTTACACCTGGGCTATTCATTGTTGTATCAGTCAACTAATGCTGTGTAACAAAACGACCTAAAAAAATCTCAGTGACTTACCCCAAGCAGCTTTTTCATTCACGTCTGTGAGTTGACTGGCATTTGCGTGATCTCGGCTTGAGTCGTAAAGCACTTAGCATATCATGGCTCTAAGCTCCTTTTGTTAATTCATTTAATTTTCCCAACAACCCTATGAAGTAGCTACTCTTATCCTCCCACTGTACAGACGGAGAAACTGAAGTTCAGAGAGTCTAAGTCCCTCACCCAAGGTTCATAGCTTGTTTGTGGCACAACTGGGAGGGATGTCCTGGTTGCTGGGAGGCACAGGAGCGGGTTCCACCTTCTCAGCCCTTTCCTCCTCCCCAGGTGGAGGGTGAATACTGCCGACAGCCCTGGGCACTGCTGGGCCCAGATCTGGGCTACATTAGAGGACTGTCCATGTAGTGGCACCTACAGCCTTTGGGTTGCATCTCATGTATGACTGGGGCAGCCAGGTACACCTCATTGTGTCTTCCATCTTCCACAGTTGGCTGGTGGGGCTGTATGGGGCCTTTGGTGATGATGTTGGCTCCTTTCACTTGTGTCTGGACACCATTTCCTAGCCCAGTGGCTCACTCACTACCCACTGCTACTGTCCTGGCCAGACCTTGGCTTTAGCATCAGCTGCCCCATGCAGCTTGCCCAGATCCTCAAGGCTCCCAAACTGTGTGGACTCCTGCAGGCAACAGATGGCCTCTTGGCAGCTGCCTGGGCCATGTCAGTCCCAACCTTTTCTTCAGGATATGCCTGCAGGATGTATGTCGTACCCATTGCCAGCACTTTTGCTTCTGTGATGCCCTCACAGCCTGTACTGCAGCCGGCCAGGAGGCTGGGATCCCCATGATGCTCTGGAGTGGCCCCAAGTTTGGCCATGAGTGCACCGGCTGGGTCTGAGAGGCATCCAAGCAGGCTGTGGGCTGACAGAAAGCTTCCTCTCCTGATGGAGATCACAAAAGTCCTAACACGAATGGAATTAGCTGAGGAGAACCTATAGGAAGAGAATCCATGGGAAAGGGAACTGTCATTGCAAAGATGTGGAAGTTGGAAAATATCACTGGGAAGCTACCCTGACTAGGGCAAGAGCCAAGAGGATTATGAGAACCTTGAGAAGAAGAAGAAACAAAAGGACATCTGCTAAAAAAGGCTCCTGGTAGCTAACTGGGCAGTGACTGAACCAGGTTTAGAGACTGTGGCTGTGGTGAAACCAGATCTTGAAACTGTGTTGGGCCCAGCCGGTGTGACTCAGTGGTTGAGCGTTGACCATGCACCAAGAGGTCCCTGGTTCAATTCCCAGTCAGGGCACATGCCCAGGTTGAGGGGTCAATCCCCAGTAGGGGTATGCACGAGGCAGCTGATGGATGGTTCTCCGTCACATCAATGTTTCTCTCTCTCAAAAAAAATCAGAATTTATTAAAGCCCAGCCAGTGTGGCTCAGTGGTTGAGCACTGACCTATGCACCAAGAGGTCACCGGTACCATTCCCAATCAGGGCACATGCCCAGGTTGTGGGCAAAATTCCTAGGGGGAGCATGCAGAAGGTGGCCAATCAATGTTCTCTCCCATTGATGTTCCTATCTCTCCCTTCCTCTCTCTCTAAAAATCAATAAAGAAAAATAAAAAATAAAAACAAAAGAATACATTTTAAAAAAAGAAAAAGAAAAGAAACTGTGTCTGGGTCCAAAACGGTGTCTGTGGTCAAATCAGAGACAGTGGTTGTCTCTAGTAAGGGCCAGGGGGCCATCACAGGGGATACCTACTGGGCCTCTGGGCTACCATACATCTATACCTTTGATGGCTACTCTTTCCCTGTGCCTGGCAGCTGTACCTACATGCCGAGCCATTGCCCTGAGGCCCAACCCAGTGGCCTCCCTGCCTCCCAGCTGGGGGTCTCCTGCTCTAGAGGGAGGTACCCCATGCACTCTGTCACATTGCACATTTTTGGCATCACTATCACTGCTGTCAAACATGAGTTCAGCTGTGTCCATGTATAAATCATAGTGTATGGAATCCTGGGAGACTCCATCCTTTTCTGTACCACATTTTTGTCATTTCTAAAATAAAGGCAATATATAGGTCTACAGACCTTTACCTAAAATGATTAGGGCCAGGTGCATGTTGGATTTTGTAATTTCAAATGGTCATACCATGCAAATAGCATATTTTATATAAGACTTCCAGTGGGTGTTACACTCAGGCTATGCTGATCATTTCTGTATTGTCCCTCAGCCTGCCCTTCTCTTTCTGTTGATATGTGCCCACTTGGTTTTATATTGGGAACCCTGCTAGCTTCTGGATGTTGAGTCTCCAATGCCAGGGACCCTAGAGGCCCAGGATGTGGAGGCAGGTTAGGAATGAGACTAAATACTAGGATCTAATTCTTTTGCATCCTCTCCTCATTTCATCTCCAGATATTCTGACTGAGAAGAATCTGAACCTTCCCATGGAATCCCATCCCATCCTGGAATCTTCCCATGGACTGAAGGGTTGAGGGTTCAATGTCTGGTCAAGGGCACATACC